CGCAGATTGCTAATGAGTCAATTCTGACACCACGTTTTTCTTCATAGAACCCAGCTTCTTGGATTATTTGCTCAGCAAACAGGTTGAATAAGTATGGTGAAAGAATACAACCCTGTAGCACACCTTTCTTAATTTTAAACCATATAGTGTTTCCATGTTCTGTTCAAACAACTGCCTCTTGGTCCATGTACAGATTCCTCATGAGCACAAATAAGTGTTCCGGAATACTCATACTTCACAATGTTGTCCATAGCTTGTCATGATCCACACAGTTGAAAGCCTTGGAATAGTCAATAAAGCACTAGTAAACATCTTTCTGATATTCTCAGCTTTCTGCCAAGATCCATCAGACATCAGCAATGTTATCCCTTGTTCCATGTCCTCTTCTGAATCTGGCTTGAACCTCTGGAAGTTCTTTGTTAATGTATGCTTGCAGTCATTTCTGTATTACCTTTAGTAAAACTTTACTCATTAGGTTATAAAAGATATCATCCGATGATTTCCGCATTTTGTTGGGTCACCTCTCTTTGGAATGGGCACAAATATGGATCTCTTCCAATCAGTTGTCCAAATAGTTATCTTCCAAATTTCTTGGCACAGAAGAGTGACTGCTTCCAGGGCCACCTCACTTTCTTGAAAGATTTCAATTTTCATTCCATCAATTCCTGGTACCTTGTTCTTTGCCAATTCCTTCAATGCACCATGGACTTCTTTCAGTATCATTGGCTCTTGATCATATGCTACAATAACAATATATCATTTTTGGCAACTTCATTTTTTTCTAGAGTAGTAACTCATACATTCCGTGTTCTGAACATTAATGTATGATTACAACAGTTTATCCTCATTTTGAGTTGTCCCCTATGCACCAATGCAGGCCTCAAAAGCTTTACCCCAGTTTCTTCTGATGCTTCCTAAATAATTCAATATTTTGCCCAGAAAATCCTTCAATAATGCAAGTGGAAACCAGATTTTTTTCTTCAGCTCGATCAATTTAAGAAATAGTGAGCATGTTCTTCTCTGTGTTTTGTTATTCCAGGTCTTTGCATAAATGATTAAGTAAAAGACCTGAACAGAAAATTTCAAAGGATAACTTCGGTAGACAAAGGAAAATATTATGATGAAATATGTAAAGACCTGGAATAGCAAAACACAGAGAAGAACATGCTCACCATTTCTTAAATTGATAGAGCTGAAGAAAAAATCTGGCTTCCACTTGATTATTGAAGGATTCTCTAGGCAAAATATTGAATTATGCAGGAAGCATCAGAAGAAGGTGGAAGGAATAGAGTCACTGAATGAAAAAGAATTGATGAATGTTCAACCCTTTCAAGAGATGGCATGTGAATGATCAAGAACTAATGGTACTGAAGAAAGAGGCCCAAACTGTACTTAAGGCATTCATGAAAACAAGGTTACAGGAATTGACAGAATTTAAATTGAAATGTTTCAACAAAATGAAGGAGTGCTGAAGGTGCGTACACATTTATTCTAAGCAATTTAGAAGATGGCTATCTGGCCTAATGATAGGAAAAATCTATATTTGTGACCATTCCAAAGAAAGGTGGCCCAAAACAGTGTACAAAATCATTGAAAAATATCATCAATTTCACATGGAAGCAAAATTTTCCTGAACATAATTTTAAAATGTTTTTAATAGTATCTTAACAGTGAGTGGCCAGAAATTCAAGCCAGACTCAAAAGAGGACATGAAACCAAGGCTATCATTGTTGACTTCAGATAGATCTTAGCTAAAATCAGAATATCAGCAATATGTTTACTTGTGCTTTATTGATTATGCAAAAGAATTCAACTGCATGGATTATATCAGACTATAGATAACACTGCAAAGAATGGGAGATTTAAGAAAACTTAATTGTGCTCACAAGGAATCTACACAAAGACCAAAAAGCAATTGCTCAAACAGCACAAGAGGATATTAAGTGATTAAAATAAAAAAGGGTGTGTATCCAATTTGTATACTTTCACCATACTTATTCAATTTGCAAGCTGAGCAAATAATCTGAAGCAGGACTATATGAAGAAGAACCCAGCATCAGTATTGGAGGAAAGCTCATTAATGATCTACCATATGCAGATGACACAACCTTTCTTGCTGAATGCTAAGGAAACTTGTGGGAATTAATGATGGGGATCAAAGGTTTACAGTCTTCAGTATGGATTATAACTAATTTAAAGAAAACAAAAATCCTCACAACTGGAACAGTACATGACATTATGATAAACAGATAAAAGAGTGAAATTGTCAAATATTTCATTTACTTAGAATCACACTCAATGCTAATAGAAACAATAATCAGGAAACCAAATTGCAGATTGATTCAGCAAATCTGCTACAAAAAAAAATAAGAGCAACCATTTTTCACAAAACTGTAAGAGGTACTTTAGTCTTTCTTCTATCTTCTTGAGAAAATTGTCTCAGAGTAGTGTTAATCAGTGTTCTTCACACTTATCTGATGTAGAATATCAAAGACTAGTACTCTAAAGAAACATATTCTTTAGTTTTTAACCTGATTTAGGATATAAATTCATTCCCTTAGACATTATGTCTTCCAAAGAGTGTCTTTCATGGGCTGGATTCTAATATTTTGTATATGAACAATGATAGAAGATTTTAAGTTAACAGAGAATCATCACATGCTATCTGCATTCATAGCATAATTGTTAGAAAATGTTGTTGCAGAACAGGAAGCAGGGAATGCTGTTGTCAAACAATCAGTAATTAGCTACTAAAAATTATTTTGGGGAACTTTCAGTCTGATAAGACACACTCAAGAAAATTAAAAGCCAGGATAGAGTCTCCAAGGAAATGCCTTTGGGAGTACACAGGCCCATGATTACATGTGGATGATTCACCATTCCTCCTAAATAGCCAAGTTAATTTATCCATTCATAGATCATTGAACTCAAGGCACAATGAAGCAGCTAATATGATAATGTGGGATTCACTTACCTGAAGAAACAAAGTGTATCCTGTTCGACTGAAGAACCATAACATACCCCAGGGCATCTAGAATGTGTAATGAGGACATGACATAAATGCTGTTTCTAAACCTTTTAATATACAAGGTAAGTCAATAAAATGGCAAAATAGAAAAGCTATAAATTTCTATAGTTTTGCACATTGTATGTGCAAACCAGGTTTAGTAGCAATATTGAGGTGAGCAGCAATGGATTTACCCTTATAATCCATTAAACTAATGTATTTCTGGATAATCTTCTATAACAACAGTTTGATTAATTAATTCACCACCTGACCTCACTCAAGAATCCCACTGCACACACCTCTGCCATGTTTAATTGAGGAAGGTCTAAATTTCTTAGCATGTCATTCAAGATTAAAAACTCTTTGCTGTTCATAGCCATTATTTACCCTCTCTATGTATCCTATGAACCTCTGAAACTGAAAAGCATCCTGATGTGTTAGGAAATATATTATTTTGAGGTTTGATAATCCTAAACTAGTAGTTGCTCAGGAGATGTCAGATCTCATTTCTATTTCTCTGAGAAAACTTGGGTTTTCCTTATCTAACCTTCACTGTTAGTTTAATATGCTGACCAGCCTGAAATCAATGTTGCATCTGAACCAAGATATAATAATTTTGTTGTTTAGATATGAAAAAATTCACCTTTAAATTATTAGGCAACATGGTGTATTGGAAAATAGACTGGGTTTTTTTCATGTAAGACTAACTGGCAAGCCAATAAAAGCTCAGTTTGAAATTTCAGAGAAACTCACCAACTATGTTTTTCCAAATTTTACAAAGTAGAGCTAAAATATAAAGAATGATATAAAATTCCTCTAGTGACCATCCGATAAGAACCTAGTTCATCTCAACATTGTTTTCCACCATGACACCCTAAAGGAATGCCTAGGTCAAACAGTAGCCTTAAACAGTTATTCTGGTAAACCCATAATATATCATAGGAAGAATTTCTTCAAATAGAGGGGACCTTTAAATTCTTAAATTTAAAGGGGACCTGCCTTTCTTAATATTACTCCTATTTGATTAGCTGCTGGTAGCTTTGAACTGGGAGCACAATAAGATAAACACTTGATTGCGAACCACAAGATCAGTGGTTTGAGCCTGCCTCTACCTCTGTGGGAGAAAGATGAGGGCTTTCTGCTACTTAAATTTAAAACGTCCGAAGCCCTACATATGCTCTCTATGAGTTGGAACTCTCTCCATAGTACTTAACAAAAACAACAAAGCTTCTGAACCGCTGACCTTGCAATTAGCAGCTTAATTTGTAACCCACTATGCTACCAGAGCTCTTTAATCCAAAAGTAGAGAAATGAAATCAAGTAATCATATGTTCCTAGATGCTCTACTGCACAGAAGGGGAATATATTGTTTTATTGAAATGGAAAGAGAGAACAATTATACTTTATACAGAACATCATCATGCATTTCAAGTATAGAATGACTGTGAGGTTGATGCAAACATTATTTCAGATGGTTGGGAAGCTATGTGTGAGAAGCAACTCATCAACTTCAAAGGTAATCAGAGTGACAAAGATGTAAGTTTCTTCTTAGCCATAGAACATAGATCTGACTAAGAAGTTTAGCAAGTTTTTGCCCATTTTCATATTCATGTAGTTTGTTGGCTGTTTATGTAGTGCAATCGAAAAGACACATTGAAATTCAAAGGCATCCAACATAGTCTCAGATATCTGACAGCCAAATGTTTCAGATGCTTGGATATTTAAGTTTTATGCCTTCATTCAAGTCTGTAAAAAGTAACCCCTTAGGATGATCAGCCTTCAATGCTTATCTTACTAGATTTCATCATGATCTTTAATGATAAAGTCAAGTAAATCTGCTTCTTTATCAGTTCTGGCTAAGATTTGGGGTAGTATAGTCACAGTTGATTTTAACTCAATCTATTAATGGAGATACTTTTTTATTTATTAATATCTTCCCCTGTGGGACACTGATGTAATTCTCTTGTTTTTGCTCCTCTAGATGTATACAAACATGAGGAGAGAAAATGAGACTTCTGCTGTAGGTTTCATCCTCCTTGGACTTTTTCCAGGAATGACGTTCATTGACTTACTCGTTTGCACCATTCTCCTTGTCTACTTTGTTGCCACCACAGGAAACAGCACCCTTGTCCTCCTCATATGTCTGGATCCCCAACTCCACAGTCTCATGTACTTCCTGCTCAGCCAACTCTCCCTCATGGACATCTCCCTCATCTCCACCACTGTCCCAAAGATGCTAACCAACTTTTTCTCAGGAACATCAGATATTTCATACATTGCCTGTGGAACTCAGATCTATTTCTACACAGCTTTAGGAGGCAGTGAATGCATTCTGCTAACTCTCATGGCCTATGACCGATATGTGGCTATTTGCAACCCTTTGAGGTATGTGGTCATTATGAATTCTGAGGTTTGCCTACAGATGGCCATTGTGTCCTGGGTAGGAGGCGCATTAAATTCACTAGTCCAAACTGCATACACCATGCATTATTCTAGATGTGGCGCAATGGAAATCCAACATTTCTTTTGTGAACTACAGGCAGTGCTCAAGCTATCATGTGAGGACACTTCAGCTTATGAGAAAGTAATTTTAGTAATAGGTATTTTATTTCTTCTCATACCCTTTGGCCTCATCCTAACCTCCTATGCCCTCATCTTTCTTAGTGTTCTCCATTTAAATTCTATCAAGGCAAGGAATAAAGCTCTTGCCACCTGCTCTTCCCATCTGATGGTAGTTTGTCTCTACTTTGGCCCAACCATGTTCATCTACATGATTCCTAGTTTCTTGCACACATCAGAGCTAGATGAAGGTCTATCTGTATTCTATACCATTCTTACACCAATGCTGAACCCCCTCATTTACAGCCTAAGGAACAAAGAAGTAGGAAAGGCTCTGAGGAAAAATGTGGGTGATTAGTAATTGTAAGGTTGTTGTTGTTGTTGTTAAGTACCATGGAGCCTGTTCCAACTCATAGTGACCCTGCACAGGGTTTCTGAGTCTGTAAATCTTTATGGGAGCAGAACACTTCATCTTTCTCCCGCAGAATCGCTGGTAGTTTCTAACTGCTGACCTTGAGGTTCGTAACCACTATGCTACCAGAGCTCCTTTGGTAATATTCAGAATTACTGAATACTTAGTGACTTAAGTAACAATTCCCAACCATAAATCCCATGACTTCTTGTGAAGCCGCATAAAGTTAACAATTCCTAACCATTTATATAACTAGATTATGAAAATCACCAGACATATTCAGTTATCTAATTGAGCAGATGTTTAATTTGACACATATTAAAAACTGTATACTATTAACGGTTATCCAGAAAAATTATAAGCTAATGAATTTATAATTTACATAAGACAAAAACAGTAATTTACCTATTCTATTTATTATCAAGTACACATAAAGTCATTTTAACAGGGCAAGCCACGATTTTAACAAGTACTTCTTTTTTCTACTTCTTAATAACATTGGTCATAATTACCTAAAATCTTACATCTAAAAATATGCTTTAAATAAATTATAAATAAGATTGTTCACATGAGGATTAACCGTATTTGAACAATTAATCTGAATGAAATTTTCATTAAACTTGAATATTGATATTTTCACTCAACAATTGCGGTATTCAAATGTAATTTATTGATTCATACAAGATCAGTTGACTCTTTGTAACAGTAACTACAGAAACAAAACTATCAAAGCCAGATGTTTGATTCTCATGCGATAGATTAAAAGATAATAAATAGATAAGTCATGGTTGAATTTGAATTTCCATATCTTTCCTTACTTCACTGAAGGTATTTCATTTAGAAATCAATAATATTACTCAGTACAAACTGCTTATCCAAATGGAGTCCAGATATGGGGCTGCAGCATGATGCACTAAACCATAGATCTAGCTGAACCTCAAGGTCGGCAGTTCAAACCTACCAGTCATTCCTTGGGAACCCTACACAGATTGCTAAGGGTTGGAAAAGACTTGATGGCATTTCACAAGAACAACAATATACAAAATTGGTTTGTTTGGAAGTGTCCTCTACTAAATTCCCCTTTGATGTCAATATATTGGTAATGTTAGTTAAAAATGAAAATTGAATAATAATGGAAACAAATATTGGTGTTTTGATGGAAAAATTGTCTTAAGTGAATAAAATTGTATGCGTTTGAGTAAAAAAATTATCTGCAATCTTGCTGTTGAATTAATTTTAATCAACTTTTAGAAGCCAAATACATTATTTACCAACATAATCTCATTGCATTTCACTACACTATGTCATCTGTCACCAAGCTTTTGTACTCCCTATTTAGAAAATGTTTTAGGCTGAGCTGTGAGTCATGAAAGCACCACTGTCTTCATTTGTTTGTCAGAGGTAAATCTTCATCCTTGAAAGTCTGCTTTCAGGGGGCCAAACATGTGAAAGTCTGATGGAACAGGATCAGGGATATAGGGAGGATACTTTAACATCTTAAATATAGTTTTTTCAGAGTATCAATAGTGTTGGCAGAGGTGTGTGGACATGCACTGTCATGCAAGATCACAATGCCCTTGGATAGTATTTCTCTGTGTTTAATCCAAAATTTAGGTTTCAGCTCTTCAGTGAGTATCTCAGTGTAAAGAGCGCTGTTGATTGTTGAATCTTTTTTCCAGATAGTGTTCCAATACCGACCCTTGAGAATCCCAGAAAACTGTAAGCATCAAATTTCCAGCTGATTGGTTGATTTTTGAGCTTTTTCTTGGTCGGTGATTGAGGATGCTTCCATTCCATATTCTACTGTTTATTCTCAGGTTCGTAGTGATGAATCCATGTCTCATCACCAGTAATGATTTTTCTTTTTTTTTCAGAAACTTTTACTTTCTTTTGAGTATCTTTCCAAATCATATTTGCAGATGTCAAAATACTTCTTTTTATGCTCTTCCATGAGTTGTTTTGGTACTCACCTCTCACAACCTTTTCAAAATCTGAAGTCTATCATGGATTATTTCATAAGCAAAGCCAACGCTGATTTGCAAATGATGTGCACATAATCCATTGTCACTTGTTTTTCCACAGAATCACTTCACATGCATGCTCAATGTTATCAGCCGTTGATGTGGATGGACAATTTAATATAACTGTAGTGCACATAATTTTTGACTCACCCTTGTCAATTTTTCACTCAAAGTTTCTTTTCTATATCTGAATTCCACTTTGAATTGCTCAGAATTGCTATTATCCTCCAGAAAATGTAACCTGTCACCATATCTTCCCAGGGACTGTTGGAAACCACAATCTATAAAGAATACTCAACAAAGGGAGTAAGGAAAACTTATACCCTAATGCTGAAGCTGATTTCATGGCCCTCACTGATTATTATCATTATGTTCCTTCTCCAATACTCAGACTAACGTTCCTTCTTCTTTGACTAGAAATTCAGGTGATCCAAGGTTGTTGATCCAATATTTGCTTTCTTCTTCATCAACATAGAAAGCTCAAAGTGATCATGAAGCAGGAAAAAGGAACTGTAGGCCATGTAAGCACAAAATATTTAGAAGCAAGACGTACAGTTTTCCCAAGTGGGTCTCTGGGAATGACCGTGTTTATTGTGTTGTTAGCTGCTGTCAAGTTAACCCCAACTCATGAGGACCCCCATGGAGAAGAGTAAAAATGTTACCCAGTCCTGTGCCATCCCCATGGTTGGTTGAAGAATGTAGTCAGTCCTAGTTTTGTCTCTTGGCCACTAATCCTAATATTTTAGCTACTGGAGGGAGCATATTATGATACAAAAGATGTTATCTCAGCATGAAGGACAGCATCATGATCCTTCATCATGATCTCTCAGACTGTGCATTAGCTAAACCTTTAGCAAGTCAGTCTATTCTCCTATTTATCCATTTGTTTCATGTGATGTAGCATGGATATGGTTGATTACACTGTTGTCCTTTATCAAAAATACATGCTTCTTGGTCAAAGCTAGAGTATCTGGAATCCCATTTGAGTAAATCAGATTTTTTGTTAAAGTGCACAGATGTCCTTGATGGAAGAAAATCTGCGAGTAGGGAAGAAAATGTCACATCTGGGATAGTTCACAGTGCTTTCACAGAAGAAGTGCATTTTACTCTCCTATTAGTCTGTATAAAAACTTTCCCCCTAGACATACTTGTTTTTATTTTACCAATCTTACTGATTCCTGTGGAAGTACTCACCACAGTTCACATATCAGGTCATTTTCTCAGTGAGAAGTTCCCTTCATGACTACTCAGGGCTACCTTTGAGTGGAACTGTAGTGCAACATAGAGCACCATTGCAAATAATAATAAGATAGAATAAAAAAACTAGAAAGTTAAAGGGCCAAACAGTTGCCTGAAATTCAAACCCCATCATGTTGGAATCCTAGTAAATTGCCTGGACTTTCAGTGTAGATGTCCAAAGAATTACATCATAGTAGTAAGGGCCATGCTTTGAGATAAAGCAACATGTTAAAGTAAATGCTAAGCCATAAAATTAAGGGAGAAGTGAAATAACCAGTCACCATGCACTATTAAGTCAATTATTATTCATGACAACACTATATGTGTCAAGAAGAACTGTGCTCCCTAGAGTTTTCAACATCTGGTTTTTCAAAGTAGATTACCATGTCTTTTATCCTAGGCACCTCTGGATAGACTGGTACTTCCAAGCTTTCAATTATCAGCCCAAAACATTCATTATCACTTGAATCACTGAGACACACCAACTTCTACTTTTGTTTAAAAATTTGAGTCTAAACAAGACTTGTGCTTGTATGCTATCTGCCTACCTAAAAAAGGAACATAGACTTTTTAAAATAGAATGATTACATAATCCAGGGTCTCTATTTCTTATCATAGTACCTTCCATCTAATAGAGAAATAATTCCATTATTGTTAGGTACCACTGAGTCTGTTCCAACTCACAGTGATCCACAGCAACCCTATGCACTACAGAAAGAAACACAGGCATTTTCACAATTGTTACACTTGAGTCCATTACTGCTGCCACTTTGTCAATGCATCTCTTTGGGAGTCTTCCTCATTTTCATTGACGCTCCACTTCACCACACATGAAGTCCTTCTCCAGGGATTCATCCCTCCTGATAACTTGTCCAAAATAGGAGAGACAAAGTCTTGCTATCTGGGCTTCTAAGAAGCATTCTTGCTGTATTTATTCCAGCACAGATTCATTTGTTTTTCTGGCAGTCCCTGGTACTTCCAGTATTCTTCTCTAATACTATAACTCGAATTCCTTGGTTCTTTAACAATTTTCCTTATTTGTTGTGTAATTTTCACATTCATATGAAGCACTTGAAAATATCGTATCTTGGGTCAGTAGCACTTAAACCTCAAACTGACATCTTTGCTCTTGAAAACTTTACAGAGATCTTGTGCAGCAGATTTGCCTAATGCAAAATGCATTTGATTTCTTGACTGCTGCTTTCATGAGTGTTGAATGTTGACCCAAGAAAAATGAAGTTTTGACAACTTCAATATTTTCTCCATTTATTATGATGTTATTATTGGTCCAGTTGTGAGGGCTTTAGTTTTTTTTACATTGAAGTTCAACCAATATTGAAGGCTGTGGTCTTTGATCTTCATTAATAAGTATTTTAAATTCTCTTCATTTTCAGTAAGTAAGGTTGTATCATCTTCATATTGAAGGTTGTTAATGAGTCTTCCTCCTATCCTGATGTCACTTTTTTCTTCATATAATTCAGCTTCTTGGATTATTTGCTCAGCATAAGCATGGCAAAAGAATACAACCCTAGTGCAAACCTTTCCTAATTTTATCAACGTTACCTTGTTCTGTTCTAACAACTGCCTCTTGGTCTATGTACAGGTTCCTCATGAGCACAATTTCAGAATACTCATGCTCCACAATACTGTCCATAGTTTATCGTGATCCACATAATCTAAAGCCTT